CAGGGAAGTCCTATGCGACAAGAACAGTGCAGGCGCGCCAACGGGGCAAGGTCATCTTCACGACAACTATGAGTTTCGTGCGCCAGAACAGTGGAGGCGCGAAGAAGGTCGAGCATGTGGTCCCAATGGCCGACGTGCCAGGGCCAGAGGAAGACTCGGACTCGGAGATGCATCCCAGCGGCCACAGTCCGTTCCAGAGCCAGAGGCTGGCGACCGAGAATGGTGAGTGCTTTCACATGTCAAGCTTCAGGGCCCAGCTTAACCCCGTCCAGAGGACTCCGACAAACCCCACACCAAGAAGTGTCGCCAATGGGTGAAGGCACGCGGTCGCATCTCACCTGCCGGCGGCCACGAAGCCCACCTCTCTGCCATCGCCTACATGTCCGACAGCTACTTCATCGGCACCGTCGCGCGCGTCCACAAGCTATGGCGCTATTCCTCACAACGCAAGAGTGCCGCTAAGTCCAGCATCGGCGAAGACGTGCTCAAGACACTGCTGGAGATGGACGATGCCGAGTTGAAGCGCCAGTCCGTTAGCGAGGCAGATATCAAGCGCATACAGCGCATCAAGAATGGAGAAGATCCAAAGAAGGTTGCGGATGACGTGCCGGAGATTGGCATGATGGTCAGTCTGGACCATACCATTTACTTTCACAACCCCCGCACCTTTAGGGCCGATGAGTGGATCTTCACCGAGACAGAGACGCCCTGGGCTGGCGATGGTCGTGGACTCGTCTTCCAGAGGATGTACACGAAAGATGGAACCCTTATCGCGACCTGCGTACAAGAGGTAAGATTCTCTCTCCTCCATCATGCACTCAGCGATGCTAACCTGATCAGGGTCTTATTCGACTTAAGCAGAACGACAGCAAGTTGTGAAGACGCAGTCACGTTTCCGGTCTTCTTATTTGCGTTCTCATCCACCCGCTTGCATAGACTTATATCCTTTATTCATAGATCAACTAGACCTGACCAAACTTTCTGAAATCCCACTCGTCCTTCTCACACGTTTCCATGAGTCTTTCTAACTACGCGGGTCCACCCGCTTCCCGGCACAAGGGGATCTGGCCAGCGGGAAGGAGGGCTAGCAACCACAACGTGACCACGTCGCACCATTTTGAAGGGCTTGACCGTGACTAACATGTGGTAGTAACATGTAGCGTCATAATCCACCTGAAGCTCGCCCGGGACTCATGCTATCGAACACACCTACCTTCAATGGGACTTTGCCGTGCTCCAGCACGACAGCTCATCGATCAGTGTGTGCGCGTACACAAGAATGAGTATCAGGAACACGATGACTGGTTTCGACCAACAAGAAAGCGTCCAATGACATAGCATACGTGTTATCGTGGCTCATTGACCCTAGAGAAACAAAACAAAGAACCAGAGCTCAAAGCACCCATAGCTCCTTCCACCGAACCCAGGAATGAGCATCGTGCCTTCGGTGGAACCTTCCGCCTTACACCACGCACGTGCAAATGCCGGGAGCGATGGCTAGCGTGACTTCGTTGACGCATACCTATGCCACACGGTCGCCGCTGCCTTCTTGACATGACGCTTCCCGCAGCTCTCACTCCTCAATAGCTCGTAGCCATCCTCACACAAACCCACTCATACGACGCATATCACCTACCGAGCCCGCTCGAAACATGACTACCGACACCTTCTTGCCCGTGCTCAGCGGGCAAGCCCCGGGGCTCACACACGATACGGGTAGTGACTACAGAGTACGAGTGGGCATCGAGCTCTCGTTGAGTCTTCTTCTACGAGGTCGTGGCTCTGTATGAGTCGGAGGCGAGTATAAATTCTTACATTCTTGAAGAAGATGTGTTTCTTTTCTGCACGCAGAGTTCGGTGTACATTATCATCGTATACAGGAACTACAAACACTTACAAGCGGAAATCGGCACAGCACGACGAACCTTGCACTCATCGATTGAGTCATTGGAAAGGACGAGCTGCCGGATCGTTAAACCCTCGCAATGGCGGAACCCCAACCAGAGACCTATCCATTCCACTCAAAGGCATGGTTCGACGCAGTTCCGACAGCAGAACAAAAGGATTTCTACAAAGGCCCTGCGAGTAACTGGATCACGGGCAGTTGGCCCGACATCACTGGCGATCCTGACTATGAAGCTGCTCGTCGCTTCGGGCATACGACTCATTCCGGTTGGATTCGGTATCTCTTCTCGTGGTCTTTCGACGGTGAATGGCAGGGCTCCGGAACTATCGAAGACGCAGCGACTCTCCAACAAAAGAAGAAGGACGCCGTTCTTCCTCCGAGATTTCTTGCCGGTTCTGAGCCAACCCATACAGACAACCAAAGGGTAATGAGCTTCTGGGTCTCTAGCGAGCTACATGATTCGGGCTTGAGGATAATCGATACGACAGGAACCGACCCACGTTGTGACATTCAGCTTGGACGTATGTAGCCATACTGGCCCGTAAACTCAAGACTGGGTACTGACCGACCGCAGTTTACGTCGCCTGCAGAATGTACATGAAGAGAACACGATGGAGCGAGACCGACTTTAAGGGCCACCGAATCACGCAAAAAGAATTGGGCCTCGAAAGTTTCATAACTACTGGCGAATCTCAAGAAGACAAAGACATGATCATCAAGTTTCTAGACAGCGTGAAGGACGGCATTCCAGAGATAAAGATCAGAGGGCGACGTCATGAGCGGACGTCAACACCAGGGCGGGAGGTACTAGCAGCGTATACGGCGGGTGACGCGTTGGAATCCGTCTTTGGGCTACATAATTTCAAATAAGGAGCAGTGATTCTCCGCCCCCTGGCTTCTGATCACATCTTACTCTTTCTTATAGCGTGGCAGCATGTTGCGACAATGTCTTTATCGAGTTGCGATGTCCTATGTTATGTTTCCAAAAACTATTTGCACTTCAATTCGAGCAAATCTTGATATTTCGAAATCCATTTCATATCATTCATTACTCTCACCATCATCATCACCCTAATTCGTAAAGTCCTTCTTCGGCGCATCCCCCTCCTCCTTCCCACTACCATATTTCCTCACATGCTCCTTATTCGCCCCCTTATCCTCTTCAAACTCCTTCAACTCAGGCGCACTCATATGCTTAACCACATTATCCGCCTGCCACTTCTTAAAGCTAAACCCGACCCCCTCATGACTATAATCCTTATCATTCGCCTGATCCTTATGATACTTGACCTGCATAAACTCCGTATCCCTCGTGTCCGGATCCAGACTCAGCGATACCAGTCCCGTGATAGTAGCGGTCTTGGGAATCAAGCGGAAGGTCCAGGACTGCTTGTTTTTGAATTGGATCATTTCGTCGTCGGACCGGATTACTTGGTAGGATTCGTTGATGGAGGCGTTGAAGAGTTTGGGGAGCGCGAACCATTGGCCGGCCATTTTGTAGCGGTCGTTGGCGTAGACGAATTGGTCGTCGTAGACGCAGTCGGGGGTGTAGCGTTTTACGCGTTGGACGGTGGGTTGGCAGGAGTAGAGGGCGATGATCTGGGGGTGGGGTGTTAGTCTTTTGTATATAGGTAGATGTTGCAAGAGGGGTGGACTTACGTCGTCGACCAAGGCCTGGCGTTGCGGGCTGAGCTTGATGCTCTTACTTGGGTCGGGCTCGTAGTCTTCACTCGTAGCCGTCTGTCTGGGCTCAAACTGCTCGCCGGGCGCATCGCTCGTCTTGGGGAAACCTGAGTTCCCGCTGCTGACGATATCGCCCGTGGCCTGTCCGGTAGTTGAAGTCGACATCTCTGCTCTTTGCTGTCCGGCTGCTAGTCGTGGAGGTGGATTGCTACCGCTTGGATTCGACTTCTGCTCTGCGTTCCAAAGCTGCACGGTAAGTGCTTTCTGAGGATGCTTGAGGGCGGGTTTACTGATAAAGTTCTTAAGATTGGTTGAGAGGAGCTTGGAGCGAGAGCCACTGGTTGCTGCAGGCATGGAGTTTGGGTTATCGGAAGCTGAATCCATTGACGCGGTTGTGTACTATATACGTGTTGTACTATGTTGACGCGTGCATGCGTGAGCGTAAGATGACGACAGTGTTAATTGACAGTGGTGCTAGATGCGGGAGTCGATGATTCATGGACTCGAAGATCGGGAGATCCAAATGTTCACGCGCGCGTTTTGGTGTAAGGAAAAGGATGGGGGATGGGCGCCGTGACCTGCATCTTGATCTAGGCCCTAACATGGGATTTCAGGGCAGATTTGTGGAGAAGGGTTGCGTATGCCATGGGATTTGGATGTGTCGAGGGGTGCGGGTAAGGCTGATCGGCATCTTTCGGGTGTTGCGGCATGACGTACGGTAAACTTCCTTTTCAGGCAACTTCGGATTGGTGTCGATGGCGGTGTTAGCGTGTATACGCGCGCTGACCCCTGGGGCGATCACCCTGATCCGGCCTACCAGCCTCGCAGCACCTGCGCGCTCCCTACGCGTCGAAAGAGCCAGAATGACAATAACGATGCGAGTCACGTCAACATGAAGTACGGAAGCCACAAGTCATACAATGGAAAGCAGCGCGATCGACTCAACCAACAAAAAGCGCGTCGCGCAAGTCAATCACTCAATGGTACTCTCTCAGAAGCCGGTTAACCTCGTGATAGATTACTACAGTTACATGAGCTATCTAGATTACATCCAGAAGGCCACCGTCATTACTTTTCGTTCGATACATTACTCCAAACCATTCCGCGCAATCGCGTATCGCAAGACACTGTAATAAATGCTTGCTGATAGGGCGCATACAAAACGCTCATGGCCAAGCCATGTGACGCATTCGCCATGACCGGGCCACGCCACCAAAGAAGAGCATTAAAGGTCATTAGTGATTACAAGAGAACGTCGTAATGCGTTGCCCGTCTATCCTCCGTGTGCCCGTGTCGTCGTTGTGTGGGGGATTAAAAGGGGGTTGGGTGAAGTCTTGCGATGAAGGAGAGTAAGAAAAGCGAAAAGTGTGCTTTTGTACATCTTGTACAAAGAGTAGTAGAAGCCGACCGCTTAGACGAAGTAAGCGAGAGCGGCAGCACCGGCCATGAAGGCAGCGAGGGGCTTGGTGGAGCTAGCAGCGCCAGTGTACTCAGGGTAGCCGGGGGAGGTAGCGGATGAGGCGTGTCCAGTGGATGATGAGGCGGTACCGACGGGTGTGGACGCGTGGGAGGACGCAGGGGGAACAACGACAGTGGTAGTCTCCTCAGCAGGAGGAGGAGGGGCGTATCCGGAGGAAGACGCCTCGGGGACGACGGGAGTGGAAGTCTCGGGGATGGGGACAGACTCAGTGATAACAGGAGGGGGAGGGGCGTATCCGGAGGAAGACGCCTCGGGGACGACGGGAGTGGAAGTCTCAGGGATGGGGAAAGACTCGGTGATAACGGGAGGGATGGGCACAGATGAGGTGACGACAGGAGGGACCACAGGGTAGGTGGAAACCGCTGGGATGGGCACAGACTCAGTGATGACGGGAGGGACGACTGGGTAGGTGGAAACCTCCGGGACAGGTACAGACGAGGTGACGACGGGAGGGACCACAGGGTAGGTGGATGGCTTGGGTACGTAAGGAGTGGAGCTGGGAGGAATGACAACAGTCGAGGTGATGGTGACCTCGGTGGTGCTGGAGACCTCTGGCACGTAGGGCTTGGAGCTCGAGTATGGCACGTAAGGCTTGGAGCTCGAGTACGGCACGGTGATGGTCTCAGTCTCCGGGCAGGGAGAGCTGGAGCTCATGGGTGGTACGTAGATGGAGGTGGACGTAACGACTGGGGGAGTGTAGGTCGAAGTCTCAACCGGAGGAGTGTAGGTCGATGTCACAACCGGAGGAGTGTAGGTGGAGGATGGCACAACAGGTGTGCTTGACTCCGGGCACGGGGTGCTGGAACTCGCCGGTGGGGTGTAGATGGAAGTGGACGTAACGACTGGCGGCGTGTAGGTCGATGTCTTAACGGGAGGAGTGTAGGTCGACGTCTGAACCGGAGGAGTGTAGGTGGAAGACGGCACAACAGGGGTGCTTGACTCCGGGCAAGGCGTGCTGGAGGAGACATGGGGCACGCTTGAAGACTCATGAACCGGGTAGCTGGAAGTGACGACAGGTGGGACGTAAGTCGAAGAGGTCACAACCGGAGGCATGCTGCTGCTCTCTTCCTCGCAAGGAGTGCTGGACGCCTCGTAGGGCTTGCTCACGGATGGAGAGGGAGCGTACTCGGACTATATGTTGTTAGAGCTGAGCGCTTCAACAGCTGGCGGTACTTGTGTTAACATACAGAGGAAGGTACAGCGTAACCGCCACTGCTGGAGGCGCCGTAGCCGCCACCGTAGGGAGCAGCGTAGACAGCGCCCACAAGGGCCATCGTTGCCAAGGAGTATCTCATCTTGTTCTGACGAGAGGTGTTGGATATATCAAGGAGTAAAGAGTATTACTAGGTGATGGGTGCGAAGCGAAAGTAACAGAGCAACCGTAACGAAAGAGCTGCTGTGTTGAAGATCGAAGACTTGATGAAGCTTGAGAGGCACGATAGATGAGACTGAGGAGGACTGCGAACCTAATATACTCATTAGGGGAGGCGGGATCTTCACACCCTACCAGCCATCTGCTTTGCCCTACCCGTGGGAAAGCCACAACAGGGTCGCATCCACGCACAACGGTTGAGGGGCTCCGAAGTCGTTCCCCACATTCATCCGGGCGTTTTTAGTTCCAAATCACCTCAAGTCGATCATGTTCGTAATCTCGGCCATACCACGGGATGAGGCTCTCTCAGTATGGCAGGCGTCTCTAAGAACGTTTGCTGGCCAAGTTTACCCTAGCAACCGGCTGCGAAAATCGCTAGTCAACGAGCGACTTACCTAAATTGTAGCTGCATGCATAAGGCTACCAGGATAATCGATGGTTAGGAGAACACGACGCCCTGCGTTCTCATGCATGCTGACTTGGTGACCGTTTTGGTAGCCGCAGAGGTTGGAACTTACAGCTGTATTCCAGCCACCCCACAAACCGATGGTGAGTGGCAGTGACATAACGTTGTCCAAACATGGCATAAGTCTTCAGCCGCACCAATGAAACGCCATCGAACCGTTTTCCTGTATTCCATGTATTCAATGTGTCACCGGGTAACACGAGGTCGTCTTATGAGTCCGAAATCCAAACAACCAAGTACATTTGCGCGGACTGCAGGGCCGCTAAGACATCGTGGGCTTTGGTCTGTCGTGAACACAAGCTGTGCCCCAGCACAATGGGACTTCGGCCGACGGCGGTCTCAGTGGCATCTTGGAAGATCGTCTATACTATTGTTTAGCATGACAGCGATAAACAAGCTTCCTTGGGCGCATTGTTGAGAAACTGTACAATGTTGCGACCACGCACTGTAGCAAGGATTATCTTACATCATCCCGAGAATTGCGCGCGCATTGGGACGCGCTGACCAAACTTTCCACCTCTTTGCACGCGGCAGAGCTGTAGTAATGAGATTCGTGCATGGCGTGGACTCTCCTCCGTTTTTTTTGCTGTCCTTGGGCGCGTGGCCGGCTTCAATCAATAGCTTTGAGCGTTTGTACCGGCCACTGTCAGGAGCTAAGACGGTGGCTTGCAGGTGTGTTTATCGAAAATCCAGGGTGTTTCCATATCGTGAACTTTTCGGCGCATTGCAATTGGCGGACTTACTGGAGGCTGGTAGTGTCCCAGCCAGACTGCTGCAACGTTCGCATGCCCTCGCTACCCCGCGTTACCCCGATCAGTGCATCCGGCACTGATCATGATGGTAATCGCAGTCAGAAACAGAGTTTTCCTGACTGTCGTTGTACGACCGGCTGCGCGTCAGCTTACGGCAGCTGTAGATAGTTCCTGCAGCAGCTGCCGCCGCCGTTCGGAACTTAATTGGCTGATTGCGACTGGCCCCAACCTAGCAAGAACACCTAGCCATATCATGCATCGCAGTCAGAGTTGGGTTCCAGACAACGGTTGTTGTGGTGTTCGGGCGAGCAAGAGCTGCCGCGCACACCTGCAGTTCAGCTACCCGGCGCTTCGTACAAGCGTCCGCGAACGCGTAACGGTTCAGCAGCAGGCTCCACCCTGCATACGCGCGAGCAGTAACACCTTCATCGATATCACCAGATCATGTCTTGGCCCACCAGCAGATCGCGGCCTTGGTCCGGCTCAATCCGAAGTTGGGCTTACGATCAGGAAAGAGAGGTCGTCCAACAGCGCGCAACTTGCAATGCGTTGCCCTGGCGATCAAGCCCGAACTGCGGCGTAACGAAGCACCCTGCAACACGACTAATTCAGTATGATGTCAGTATGGCGATTTATCGCGTGCTCTCCCTGAACCGAGCTCGAAAGGGTCTGGTCTTTCCACGTTCGGTCTTCCTTGTACCGCCATGGCGGCACCTCAACATCCGTCAAATGTCGCAGTGCTTGGTCAGTGGTGAAAAGCTCTTCGAGAAACTCCGAGCCTGCACATCCGCTAAGAGTGGTGCAAAGGTATGTGTTGTAGTGGTGTCACCAAAGTGTTGTGTCGCGGATCAATCTGTCGTGGCTGGCGGTAATATCCTTGTGTATTGAGGCCAGTGGCAGACGCGCTGTCATTTCCACAAAGACACTGTGCGCCAGCCACGCGTAAAAGCCAAGCTCGTTGCAATGCGACTAATCGTCGTCATCGCTTTCTGATCCACTATCCCAGCCTTCATCGTATTCCTCCGCGAGGACTTGTAAGCCGTTGCATAGCGCTTCCTTTTCTTCAATACCGCCCATTCGCTTGACGATCTGCTCGACAGCTCGGATCTGATCAGCGACAGTGGTACTTGTCGTCAGCCCCGTGTGTACAGCAAGCTTAGTGGAGTGACCGGACCCTACGTCTAGCATCGAACGAGGAAAGCTGTCAAGCAGAGGAAATAGTAGCGGTGCAGCAAATCTGAAACGCGTCAGCGTGAATTCCACGTTTTGCGCCCAATTTGCAAGCGCTGATGATACAATCTACACATCGATGGCGACGAAGTGGCACATACCTTTGCACTGCTGGTCCACTATCGAACCTGTCGTGAGGATCCCGTTCGTTATCTTCAGACAGGGCCCACTCTCCACGAGAAGCCTCTGCCCGCCCAAAAACGTGCTCTTTCTTTCCCTTCCTGGTAGCCGTTCTGTAATCACGAGTGAAGGTATCAATGTCGAAATGGCTTAGTCGATCGTCGCCCTCACTTGTCTGCCTTGATGTCATAGAACCAACCTTTTCCGCTTTCTCGGCTTCATCGAAAGCCTTATCTGACAGTACCTCCGGATCTGCAGCACTCATCTCGAGCTTCGCTATACGTCGTTTTCCGGTACTGTTGATAGTGTTTTCCAAGTCCTGAAGCGTTCCGCGCCCGCCCAAAGATGCTCTCAAACGTGAGGATATGGTCATGCTTTCCAGACCCATGACTTGTAAAGCTGCAATATGCCAGGGAGAAGTTGCATCTAACGATAGGTAGCTTGGTAGTTTGGCAGGGCTGTTCGACATCGGGACGTATACTGACGACTGCTCCCCAAGTATTTGAAGAGATCGCGCCGAGTTTGCCACTTGTTGTATGCGTCTTTCCTGCTCTGTGTTATTCTTTACTTGTTTCCAGAAACTTGAATAGAACCTACTCGAGGAGTCGACGAGTTGGCGCCATGGTCACCTAAGCCCCATGTCCAAATGCTCATCTTTCCATACTCATCTCTCAGCCTTTCGAGCCATCCCGAGGCCCAACCGCCCCAGGCGTCATCAACACCTGTGAAGATCTGGAGCCCTTGAATGCCATCACATTCTTCGAAAAATGGTCGCAGATCTCTGTCAACCAGATCTACTTCCCTCTCAAGCTTCTCGAAAAGCTCCATCCCTACGTCCCAGCTCTCAAAGGGCATGAGCTTGTCGTTGACGTCGAACTCCGACAGCTGAACAATGGACTTTGGATGATAGTAGACACGGCTATAGTCTGACCAGTATCTGACAGAAGATGTATTGAGCGGGGGAGGCTGTAGGCCAGCATCGAGGTGCTCTTGATAGGTGGATTGTGGGATCGTCTCTGTTGCGCGCTGTACAATAGGCTTCGATGGCCAGACACCATTCTGATCTAGTATACTTCTGTCGTCTTCAGCCTCGTACAGCGCATTGATCTTTCTCATGCTACCAAAAGCACCTTTGAGGTCGTATATGAGCGTCCTTGGCGTGAAAGTATCTGATCCATCAGGAGCAACGCCTGGCCTGAACAGTATGTCATGGTTCACAGGCGACTCTGGCTCGGGCGGATATGTGAAGTAAGACTCCTGCGAGAACATTAGATGAGACGACGACAGAACGCCAAGAATTCGTGACTTACTTGGGTGTTCCAGAAGTGAGTGCCCAGGTAGTTGCTCTGCTTGCCGAACTGCAAAGTCACGATTTCATGCATGGCGACAGATGATTCGTAGTCGTTTAACAGATACAGCTGTACAAGCGATGCCTTGGAGTTGATGTGAGAGTGGGAGATGAGTTGACTGACGATGGTGCAGACGGAGATAAACGGTGATTGGCGAGATCAAGCTCTGTCATTTGCCCCGCACGTGCACACGCGATGAGGAAAGAGCTGCTCCACCACGTCCCAATCCATGACCTGCTACCAAGAGGCTCGTTTCTGTTGATTACAACACGCCTTGGGGGTTTACACCGTCTTTCAAATCAACATAGTATAATTCGTGTTGTGGTGATATCCTCAGGGTGTGCTATAATTGTTAGGTGCGACTACGGCCATTAGCGGACATGATGAGGCGGGCAAAAGATGGGGTTCAGAGTGATTTGCACATATCCTATGCGGAACGTATAGTATGAAGGCGCGTCAGCCAGAGATTCAAAGGCGCTCTCTCATCAATCACGCATGTGTCATGTAGATTCATGCTCATTCACGACCCATGTTCATCAAGCCGTTCTCTTTTCGCTCGCCAAATAGTGCTCTCGTTATATAACCGGGCGCGTGGTATCGACGCTCAGTTGGAACATAATATTGTGTCATGAGTGTGTCTGCGCGCTTGCAGAACGATGATGTACTACGGCTGCCAGTGCGGTCTGCGAGATGATCAATATATCGGCTACATTTAGTGCTCGGTCTTTAGAGGAAGCTTGGGCGATAAGCCCTCTACCGTTCACTTGCATGTCTGGCATGTAGTATTCATCAGGCAGTCGCCCGACTGTAGTCCGTGCCATGCCCTATGACAAGCCAATCGGAAACGCGTCTTACAAGACCTCCTACAGCGGCGTGTCTCTGCTCTAGCATGTGTAGAGACTTAGGCCAACCGGCAGGTGGTCTTTGCAGTAGTGCGTGCCCTATGAAGGAGAGCACGCTCTTCAAGCCTATAGCGACAGCGGCTGTCAGACGCGCCTGGCCTGAAGGTCACCCCATGAAACAAAGAACATGGGCTTCTGCGTTTGTAAGAACACGACAGGGGGAACTCTGTTGACCGCTTCGCGGGATGCAGATGTTCTGGTCCAGCTGCACGATCGGCCATGTAGGCTGCCAAACCGCACAAGCTTCCCGCACGCCATGACCTGTGTATGCTTGCAGATCGCCGTTGCGGTCCTTATTCTCGTTGTTTCCGGGCGATAGCGCGATGCAGCTATGTCGTTCATGGAAGCTCCAGGTCGTTCCGACGTAGGTGTTGAGCGCGACGCGTCGTCGCGCATGGCAGACGCGAGCGAGACGCGCGATTGGTAGTCACAGCGAGCTGGAATTGTTTCCGAAGGTTTGGCGTCCAATAGCGAGGATGGTTTGTCTGTATATCGTACGTCATTCGGCGGTGTGGAGGGGGTTTTGACGTCTTTTGCTGGTGTTCCCGCCTGGAGTACCTGCCTTTCGCGCTAGCGCCTAGTTGTTAGCGCGATATCTCGCTCTGGCTCGTTTGCTTCTCCGTTATCTGTCTCATACACGAGCACATCAGCCTATCACAAGATCGACCTACATCTGGCATCACTGCGATGTCTCAAGATCCTGGCGGTCAGGCCTGAATGGCTGGCATACCGCGTCCGATGGCGCCCCCGGTGTCCCAACTGCCTTCTCTTGGCACTCTGACTGCCCGTCACCCATTGTTTGTAGTGACTAAATCCGAACTCGCGGGCACCCGTATTGTAATGACGAAACTTCAACTTGCGGTCACCTTCCACTTTGATTGACTCAACCTCCTGCTTTTGCGTTTCTCCATTCGATCCTGCCACGCCTGATCTCTACCACTCTCGTACTCTGGTCCGATCACCTCCATTGTCTGGTCCTGACGGATCGCTCACGAGTTCAGCAAGTCTTGGATGAGAAAATCACAGATACAATAACTGACATTCTCGACTCATCACCCTAATCGAAATCACTCATCGCGTATTAGGCGCCAGCCAACAGATCTCCCATCGCACCTCGCCACGAACCAAACTATGGTTTCAGACAGCAAGCCCAGTTCGCATTCCACCAGCGCAAGCAATACGGCTAACACATCACCTGTACATCATGAGGCCTTGACAAGGCTTCGCGAGGTCCTTCCCGATAATCTTTGGCCGGAGGTACGCCCAGCACTCTCAGAAGACGTATCATTCGGCAAAGCAGAGCTTCAACACGGGAGGGTACTGATCGGCCACGTCTGCTCGGACAAAGAACAGGGACAAGATACTGTCGAAGAACGCGCCTTGTGGGCACATCTCTGGAAGATCGATTGCAGAGGAGGTGCTGTACTCAGTTTTTACTACAATACCCAAGAGGAGCTCAGAATTGGCGAGCCAAAGTTTCGCAAGGTCGACTTCCAGACATGGTGTTGCATGATCGCTACAGACCAGTCACCTGTAGGCTCTTCTGGTGGCGCATGGGAGAGGCGCCTCAAGACAGTCGTAAAGATTGCTCTCCTTGGGAGTGGATACTTGAACCCAAAAGATAATACATTTCCAGATCTGGCGACACTTATCAGTGTCATCAACAAGCGCAAGCCTACCCACGAAACCAGTTCTTCTTCAGTGCGAAACGCCAACGGCAAGCGTCCGTCGGAGAGGGACGACCTAGAGACATTCGTCGAACAGATCATGGAACCTGAGTCTGAGGACGACTATCTGGATGGAGGTAACGAGGAAGATGCATCTCTGACAGAACCTAGCAGTACCGCTCACGCGCCTTCTGCAAAGAAGTCTGGTATGAAAACATCGCATATACAAGAACTACAAGAGGCATTTCCGCCTACAGTCTGGCCACGTGTCGAGAACTGCAGCGAGGACGTCGGCAAACTCTACCCCGGAAAAGTCTATCTTGGATTTTTACCATCTGCCAAATCGCCGAGCGGTTTACCACAGGAGGTTTGGGCGAGGGTCAAAGGGAAAGCGTCCGCCAAAAGGTCTGGACACATTCTGTGCTACTGGAACGACGGCAGATCGGCAAACTTGAGGGATGAAGATCTCGTTAGTAAGATAAATTTCGACAAGCCTTTTCGATATCTCGGAGATCCTGAAGCACGCCAGAAGAAGAAAGAAGCACGCGATCCCTGGCGGGCTTCGGTAGCCGTCTGTGTACGGGCAGCGCTCGTCCATGCAGGAATGATTGACGGAGACGAGCTCTCAATCCAGACTAAAGCACCACGAGCCGCTGAGATCATTCGCCAAAACCGGGAGAGACTTGAGACCAACACTGCAAAACCCGCTGATGTAGAAGCCTCGGACAACATCAATCTTTCATCGAGCACTGATATCACTGTCAGTTCTTCAAGCATCCCGGTTGCAGACATGAGGCCCAAAAAGCGTCGTATGGACTCTGATCACGAAGCTGGTAATGATGTTGGAGATTCAGTTTCGTTGGCCATGACACCAGCCCCGAGAGGATTCGCAGCCGTAAGCTCGGTAAGTCACTAAACAGCTCTTAATACCCTTCTAACCCTCGATCAGATATCCCCGTCGATACAGTTTCTCAGGAGGGCTCGTGAGAACGGGCCAGGCTCTCTATCTTACGAGCTTGCCGCTTCCAAGAAGAGATGTGCGACTCTCGAAGCCGACGCAGAGCGACAGAAGAGAGAGAACGAACAGCTTCAAGAAGCATGCAAAGAGGAGACTGTTGGCGCAGTGACTCTTCGAAGTGAGTTGGCTGTCGCCTGTGAGAAGATAGCGAAACTCGAGCGAGATGGCGCGGAGCTACAAGCAGAGATGGGCAGTCTCAAAAAGTTGAGACAAGCGCATGTCGAACATGCCCAGCACATTCTACTCGAAGTCATGGCTTTCGACATTGGTGAGCGAGATGGCACCGACCCAGAAACGGCAAGCCGAGACGCTAAGAGCCAGTACGTCGAGACCTACGGTATCGAAGTTGAAGTCGGAGCGCTGGGCGATATGGCCTGAGTGCGTCTAACATTTCTGACAACTCAGCGATCCTGACCATGCTACTCTCATCTGGTTGTTGCTTACCATGCGCAAAAGTTGCGGTCAGTGGAAGCGCTTTGGCTGTTAGTCAGGCTCCATGTGCGTATACATGATACAGTCGTTGCTATGTATGCAGCCTATGCAGCAAAATTGGCAGGCCATGAGGTTATCTGTATGTTAATTTCCTTTTTGGGTTGCTTTCCAACAGTGTGCATTTACTACTTTCTCTCTATCCACTGTTAGTGCAGCACTTGGTTAGGCCTCTTTAGAGTACCTCGGAACTGAGCTGGACGTGTCTAATCACTTGTACAGCCGAAAATTACTCCTTCGGTATAATTTGCGCACTGCAGTGAATGCATTCTCTTTTGTTATGATCTCCTAGGTAATCCGACGACGCTAGCTGCATTAGTAACGCGGTGCGCCCTCCCTCGTCTCCTACGACTTGTACTGTATCGGCACTGCGCTATCAATCTGATCACGCATAAGCACACTGGATATACAGTCGCGACAACACAGACTCATATCTATAGCGCTATATCTGTTCAAGCAAAGTGGTACAACCTAGAGACCAGGTGAGTCCCTTCTTTTCTCAATTGCAAAACAACACCCAAGCAGGTTCAGATGCCCTAGAAATCATAGTGGCCGGCGGTAAATGAATGGTGGAACGCGATAGCAATTACTAACTACAAGACAGAGGAATATACTCACATGGCGCTCGCTATCCAAGAGGTTCGCAGACTCGCGCCATCGCGACATGCAGTGTCTGCTGATAGAGGCTAACAACTACAACAGCCCACTAAAGATGTACGCATCAACAAAGCGGTACTCAAAGAACAGCAAAACAAGCACCCCGCGGTGCTCGCAAAGCTACGCAACGCTATCCCAACCGACTGCTATCCTACAGTGGAAGCATCACAACAGGACATATACTATGGACGTCCGTTCTACCCCGGTAAAGTCCTCCTCGGTACAAACGATGGTACTCGCGTGTGGGGCTATCTGCGCCGGATAATGAGTAATCATAAGACGACGATGGAAGTACACTACGAGGACAACCGCGGCGGTGACGCAACGGATCATACACCATTTGCGCAGTCGCAGTTTGTACCATGGTGTCGCCTTGTCGCAGACGATGCGTGTCCTCTTGGTACTGCAGCTTGGGAGGAGCGATTGAAGATAGTGATTAAGATCGTGATGTTGGAGGCTGGCTACTCGGAAGCCACGGTATCTGGTTTACCCGCCGATCTACTTACATCAATACGGAAGAATGTCGAGAAGGGTCTGCACAACGTGTCGCAAGCAGCCCGGGCTAGGCCAAGTATACAATCGTCGGCGGGCCTAATAGCAGCTCCTGTTGCATCGGCTTCCGCCCCCAGGCACACTGTTGAGGCCAAGAACAGTATCGTACTCAATATGTCGAAGCCTCAACCGCAGAAGACTGCAGCGACACACTACATCAAGGTACTGAAAGACCACATCCTCACCGACCATTGGTTCCAGACGCGTCCCATGGCGGCCCATGAAGAACGAGCAATCACCTTGTTAGAGCCAGATAGCAAGGAACACTTCGCCCTATTTCCTGGTAAAGTCCTCCTAGGATATCTCCGTGACGCCGAAAACACACCAGTATGGGCAGCGTTCCGCCATCCCAAACCCACTGCCAAAATACAGACACTGTCGGGACCGTGGCGCATGTGCTTCTTCGATGATAACCTGTTCGAGGTCCAACTGCCTGAAACACTAGACGGCGCCATTGAATTCGCGCCTGCGTTCCAGCTACTCACTGAGAGTAAAGACAACGTCGGTACACGCAAAATCTGGTTTGCTAGAATCAGCACGTGTGCACGTGTTGCGCTCATCGACGCTGGACTCCAGGACGACGAGGGCTTTCAGACTCGAGTAGACGCACGGCCTAAAGAGCTGGCGGCGGTGATCAAGAAGGCGTGGGCGCGACTACGACGAACACTCCAGGGAGGTGGACGGGAAGAGGCTTTGCCGACGCGATACCGCCAGTATGGGAAAAATCGTACAGCGGACGCTTCTGCTGTAGGCGCTATAGCACATGGCCAAACACAAGCGCCTACCGTCACCCAACCCAGGAATGACGAACAGCAAGCAAAGTCGCCCCCGGAAGATCTCATCCAAGATCTTATCGAGATATCCGAAGACGAAGACGACATCATGGAATCGGGCTACCAGCTCCGCGCATCCAGTCCCTGGCCCACTTTCCCGAAGCGCGAATTGTTCACCCCAGCGCCCATTTCTACCACTATGAACAAGAAACAAAAGATCGCTCCGTCCAACCGCACTTCGTTGCTTGACTTCATCAACCTGACTACTGCCATCGATACCCCGGATACCGCTGCGCTTGAAGAACAGGTCCGCACATTGACTGAAGCCAAGACATCTCTGGAAAACACTGTTGGTGATATGAAAGTACAGATCAACGACTACAAGAAGAAGAACCATGAGTTGCAGGTGTTCAAGGCTAAGCATGTTGAGCACTGTCAAGCTGTGATGCTCAAGCTGCTGACGCAGAGGAACGTAAGGAACGGAAGTAGTGAGGTGGATGCGGAAAAAGATGCGAAGATGGAGTATACTCAGGTCTACGGTCTTGCTATTGTGGAGGATATTGGAGAGGATTGAGAGGGCTACTGTTGACTATACGGATGTAAGACTTTGGATTGTTGTTTTGGTTACAGGGATCTCCGCTCAGAAGCCACCAATACCGTCATCGCTGTCGTAGTCGTAAGACCAGTTACGATCAGCGTCTCTGTCCTCTTGTCTTTCTTGTACACCTGTCAAAGCCTTCCATTCCCGTTCCTCCACCGGTTTTCCCAGCCCAATAGATAACTGCAAATCCTCGTCCTCACCATCAAGCGCATGGTAGCTCCACACATAGTCCACATCCGAAATACAATGAGGTTCAGTCACGGCGCCAATGCGGCATTTTACTTTAAGCAGCTCGACTGCGACGACTGAACCTTCTTCGCCAGGAGAGGTCATGTTGGACGCCGAGTCTACCCGTCGGAAGGGTAGTTGAACTTGGGTTTGCGGGGTTTCCGTAGCCTCGGTTATGGGCTCGTGTGACACGGTCGCACGCTTGTGGCTTGGAGATTTGGAAGTTTGGAGGCCGGTGACGAAGTAGATTGGCTTGTTTTGTTGCGATAGCTTGCGGAGAAAGCCTTGTGTGCTGGTGTCGTTGCGTAAGGTGTCGAAGAGTTGCGATGGGTCGGTCAGGGCGATGTGGGAAGTGGACTCTGCGTCTTCTTTCTTCGAACGGGCAGCCTTTTGTATGGAGTCCGAAGCTACTGAGGGGTTGATAGAGTCGGAAGGAGCGCTTAGAGGATTGGTAGTGATTTGCCCGAGCGCAATAGATGTTGATGGCAGTGGTTCTGGGAGATGTAGAATCGACATGTCTGAAGCAGATCTGTATTGAGATTTGCGGCTAAGCTGGGTATCTTGGGTTGGTGAGAAAGAGTGTAGGTGAGACCAAGACGAGGAGATGCAGGACACTCAAATATGAGCGCTGGCTAGGACCAGCGGTGAAGTTATATTTCGACGCTGTGGACTTGGCCCAGTCTTCAATCGCACCATGACATAACTGCTGATGCTCATGCGTTAGCATAACGTCTCTGCGCTTGATGCTAGTTCAGTGTGACGTCTGCTATTCGTTGTCGCCCTGTCGTCGGTCGTACGGGAAGGGATGATCATTCGGCGCGAGAGTATAGCTCGGCTAACAAAGGGCTATAAGGCCCAGTGTTAGCTCCACCAAGGGTTAAGTTACTCAATTGGCGAACAAAGCCCGCAAACTTGCGATTGCGTTACTAAGATGTGGCCGGGGTGGTCTGATGGAGATCGGCTGACTTGTTCCTGAGTGCGATCCGACCTCGGGCTCGGAAGCCTAGATTGCATGCATCAGCGGGAGGACGCGGAGCCGCATGCTAAGATTTTCCATAGATCTTGGAAGACGGCTTCGCGAGGAGCTTCGAAGCCATTAGATCTTTTATGAAGAAATACTTTACGAAGCCTGATAAGCCGTGGGTATGTGGTAAGGTAGGAGAGTCCGCATCTTGCGTGCAGTTCTCCGGAAACAGAAGAACCGCAGCTATCGCACTGGAAAATGCGCTCGCGTGTCAATATACAACGATAACGAAGGATGGAGATTGAGATTGCTGATAACGAATGTGCGGTGGTGAGCCGCTGCCTCGGGATGGTTTGCAAAGGATGAGGGGTGATTCGTCATGTGAAAAGCTGACTAAGGACGAAACGTGGCGTCGTGGCGCGTAGGCTGGCGTGACGCGATCGATATGACACGCCCTTGAACGTGACGTTTGTCCTGGCTAATATATGCGTCGCGCTTGCCGTCATTGCACCGTTGTCGCCTACAATAGACCGTCGCTCGTCCGTCCTTGATATTGAGATGAAGCTGGGTCGGACGACTGGGATGGTCGGCCATGATTGTCGCTGCTTTCGGCAGCGGGCGGAAAGCTGACACTGCCACACTGCGGGAGGAGCATGTACCGTAAACATGACAACGCCAACTTTCGGGCCACTTTTGCAGCCCAGACACCTACCAATTCCTACGGCTAGCCTGCCATGGCAGAGACATCCATAGCCCCTACCCACCACCAGCGTCGCCAAAGTGCCCTCGCCGACATACAATTCGCCTCTATCGTCGACGATGACCTCACACCCTCCGAAGACGAGTCGCCGGAGGAAAGCGCGTTTGGGCTCGAGACAGCCCAGTCAGCAATTGGAGTCAGCATAGGAAAGCAGCAAACGCGTCTGACTTCGCCGAAAACGCCGGCTGCGGAAAAGGCTGCTGCCCTAGAGGACACGGAAGACGGGGCCTTTTTTGAGGGCTGGCAGGAAGCTACCGATGCCACACCGGAACTGAGAAAGACGACACCGCGTCCAGAACCGAGCAAAGATGTTCAGAAAGCTGACGTGAGGCCGAAACCCACGCACACATCGAGCAATGACGACCGCGAGCGACAATCCGACACTCGAACGCGACTGCCTTCGCCATGGCGAGCAGGTCCGAAGACATTCCACAAGGAGAAGGCGGGCGATCACCGAGCTATACTTCGCGACCACCTACAGATTGGGAGACGGCGGGCATCCTCGAGCGGCTCCATGGGGGACACGATGCGCAAATACATGCCCTTCAACCTGCCCACGTCTATCACCAAATCCTACAAAGACATGCACTTTTCGCTACCGAGCCTGTCAGCACTCTCGCTCGATACGGAGAAGCCACGTACCTCTGACAGACGGAGGAGAGATACCTTCGCCAGCAGTGGACCAGCCCGAGACATACCACAGCAGGATGGTGCCAGCCACTCCACACCCCAAGAGTCGAGGAGCGCATCGAGGAGCCTCGTACAGGTGCCACAACAACCCAATACCGCTCCTATACCCCAGCGCGAGTTCAGTGACGAGAGCACCGATACCCTTCAACCGTCCCCTAAGATATCGAGCGAGCGACCGGCGCCTAAGTTACGGCGGTCCAATTCCGAGGGCTCTTTGCTCGTATACCGAACAAGATCCTTTGCATCGTCACTCGGTGACGACACACGTTTTGAGAGTGTACAAGAGCAGGTCAACAGTAGGCTGAAGGCCCTCAGAGACAGCTGGCAAGACTCGAATTTCAAGCTACCAAGCCCTTCGTTCCCAAACTTCAACCTATCGTCCAGCAGCGAGATATTCAGAACCCGCAATGCCAGTATAGCGTCTAGACTCCGTGAAACCGACAACATCCGCGCAAACGAGCCTGCATCGGCAGCACGTCGCGACTCGACAAGGAAGAAGCGCCTGCCGTCAAAGGGTGGGGATAGCGAGTTTGAGCCGCATCCATACTTCACACAAGCTCTGCAGGAGCTGGAGGGTGACTTGGTCGTGCTGGGAGGCTATCGAGGTTCCATCCTGCGCTCAGCAGAACCGCCTCATCGGCAGCTTTGGGTGCCTATAAAAGTCGGGTTGAACCTACGCAAGGTAGACTTGGAGGTACCTTTGGACCCAGATGCCGATGAGTGCATGGAAGAGAGTATTATACCCAGCGGCATGCTGACCCATATCGGTCCGGTCGATATAGCCAAGCGCCTGTTCAAGCGTCTGAATGCATGCGATAATGTCAAGGATGGTAAACTCAGGGTCCACAACTACGGTTATGACTGGCGGCTGTCTCCGCACTTCCTAAGTCGGCGGATGATACAATTCTTGGAGTCGCTGCCCTGCAATCAGCCAGGCGTTCCTCCAGAAAAGCGTGGTGCCGTCATCGTCGCCCACTCATTAGGCGGCTTGATCACGCGTCATGCTATCAACCAGCGTCCTGATCTAGTAGCTGGTGTTGTATATGCTGGTGTACCTCAACGCTGCGTGAATATCCTAGGTCCATTCCGTAACGGCGACGATGTCCTCTTCTCCTCACGCGTGCTCACCGCACAAGTAAACTTCAGCATTCGCACATCCTACGCTCTTCTGCCTCTCGATGGAAAGTGCTTCATCAACAAGCGCACAAAGGAAGAGTATCCTGTAGACTTCTTCGACGTCAATACCTGGAAAGAACACCGTCTCTCACCATGTATAGCAGCACCTCTGCCCCGCCCCGAACAACCCAAAGACAGCAACTTCAGCGTTAGTGGCCTGATGAACGCCGTCTCCTCATCACTCCCAACCTTCTCCACTCGCAAAAGCAGTACCGCGAAAGACGCAGCCGACGTAGCTCGTAACGCCGCGAACAATGTCACAGAAGGAAGCGCCGAACAAGCAGGCATGGGACCACAGATGGGCCACGAACACAACATCGAGACCTCCAAAGAGCCAAACCCCGCGACCGATGTTACGATCCCTTACGACAAAGCCGTGGAGTATCTCGCGCGAACCCTCGCTGAAGTCAAAGCCTTCAAACAAGAACTCGATCACCGCCCCGAACACACAGCGTCGAACGCATACCCACCCATCGCACTCATCTACGGCAAGTCCACACCAACAGTATATGGCGCAAAGGTAGAAAGCAAAGAAGCCATCAAACGCGCAGACGTATACGATGAGCTTGCCTTTGCGAGCGGCGACGGCGTGGTGCTCGCTCGTGCGGCTATGGTGCCAACTGGTTATAGTGTGGTTCGGGGCGGTGTCGTCTCGAGTGACCGCGGACACGTCACGCTTCTGGGTGATTTGGAAGCTGTAGGGCGGTGTCTTTGTGCTGTTATCCATGCGAGGAGAAATGGCGTTGGGATGGGGGCTGGGGCGCGATGAGGTTATAGAGACGCTTATACATTTTTACCTAGAGTCAATGAGATTAGATCAACTTCATGGATACGTCGCTGCGATTCCTGTTAAGTGTGGATTTGTACTTGTGCTCATCTCTGTGGTGCTATGAAAAGGTAGCAGTTTCCTCGGGCAAAGTGTATGAGCCTCACGCCAGAATTCTCAACGGCCCTGACAAAACCACACGCCTCTCAACCGTTATCACACGAGCTCGTCGCAGCAAACAACGAAACCGCGCTGGTGTTCGCCAAGCCATCTGCCCTTCTCCAACGGTCGCGTTCCTCGTGTCTTCATCGGCCCTTCTCTCGGCGCTACCCCCTCGTATAAAGGTTCGCTGGGCGTCGCGATCTGCGAGTGAACGGTGGAGCGGAGCGGAAGGCGGCTACAGGCGATGCGACGCGACGCGACGGACGGTACGGGCGGGCCCTCGTGCGCGGCGTTGGGTTCGAGTTCGTAACGAAGTCATGTTTTGGTAGTAGGTGGGCACGTACCTAACTGTCTTTGTTGCGCCCTTGATGTAACGTCGTCTCGTGTGTTTTGCGCTTGAATCTTGGGTAGAATTTGGGACGAGAACGTGTAGATGGTAATGAGACCGTGAAGGGTTTGCGGTAGTATTGCTTTTTGCTGACTGCTGGAAATCTGGGAAGACTTGGAATGAACATCTTTTTGAGTAGGAATGAGCGCTGATAGCGGCATAGTTCAAAAGCTTGGGATAGAGAAGAGATAGATAGCCATCGCAAACAGATGTGCACTTCAGGAATCCGATTTCTCTCGATGATGCTGACGTCGATATCGCGCCAGTATTGTCGTGTTCAATGACCAAGCTGATAAACTCCCAATCAACTCAAGAAACACCTGGTGGTAATTACAAATCTATGACCTTTGACTCAAGGGTTCACTAATGTTGGGGTTGCGCAGTAAATCGCTCAGTTCCAAGGCCGGTACCAATCTGGGCTCATGTGTTTAAGGAACAAGCAAAGCTGATTGATGCATGTTGCCAGAGTGCTGCAATTGACCATGAGTCACAGAGGATTGCTGCATGCGAATCGAGTCAAGTAGTACATGTACGAACAGTAAAGGGGGATGTTGATCACGCTGCTCAGCTCGATCGAGAGCTATGCTGAGCCGCCCGCATCGTCATGTAG